TTGAGGCTTAATTGATCCAGATTCAAGCCTGTCAAACCCAGTTTCCGCCATTGGAGAAAGTTGAGTATGCAGACGAGAGCAGTTAATAATATCTTCCTTCACTTCCATTCTTCCTGATCTTGATCTCCATGGAATTGGTGAAGGAAGCACAACATTTTCACTACCTCTCTTCTCCACATTCCCATAATCACCACCTCCTAAATCCCCTCCTTTATCTTTACTTGAATTGCTGGAAAAACTTTTAGACCCTAAATTAGAATTAGACCTACTAATACAAGAAGATGAAAGATTAGATTCTCTGCTAGTTTCTGAAACATCCGCGTCTAAAACACGCGATTTCAAGCTTCTGACAGGTAAAAGCAAAGGCTTCTCCCCTTTTCTAAAACTAGTAGCTCTCTGTTCCTCAAGAACAACAACAGGATCATTCCTATAATATTGGTTACTCCATGTTTGTACCTTGTTCTCATCACACCCAGATAAATTTTCATTCTCTTCATCAAAAACAGAGGATACCTGAAGAAATCTAGACACGTACGACTGAGCATTATCGAACTTGGAGTGGTTGTTTTCCTTCTGAGAATCGTCGTTTCGCCGGCTGAACAGCCCGTAGGAGACAGCTATTCCGACGAAAAGAAGGTGGAGAAGCTCCCAGCTCCGTGTGAGTAAAGTTTGGTTGATGAATTCAGGGGCTTGAGAGGGGAACAGAGGGAGTATAACTAAGAAGATTATAATAAGAAACCCTTTGCAGAGAAAGTTAGCATTGTAAAACTTACTTGGGTTTGGTTGAATTTGGTCTTTGACTGTTGTTCGGTGCTTGGTATAGGAGGCTGTTTCTGCCATTGAAGAAGAGAAAGAAAATGTACAGAAGTACTTTTTAAATGGGTTAAAAATGTCTGTTTCTGCGTTAAGGGGAATAATAAGAGGAGGAGGAGGAAGGAAGGAGGAGAAGAAGAGAAGACTTAAGGGTTAAGTAAAGGGAAGAAAGAGGAAAGGAAAGAGAGGTTTAGGGTTCTGGTTTTGATTCTTTATTCTTCTTCATTTTGCTTCTGGTCCTCTCTCATTTTACCCTCATTTTTCTTCAATCGGCAACTCCACTATATACTATTAATACAATTAATTAATTACCTTTGATGGTTTTTCCCATGTTAATACTCAAAAACTTTATTTTTAGATCACAAAAAAAGTTAAAAATGAAAGAATATGAAAAGAGGATGTTGTGGTGGAAGGAGCAAATAGGTTGCGTGGAGGTGGTGAGGATTCTTCTTTTGGAGTGCATACGCTAGCTTTTTGAGGAGATTGATAAAATATATTTCAAATCAAAATAAATAAATAAATAAATAACCTTAACTTAAAATTCAGCACACACATATATGTACATATATATATATTTTAACCCTATCATAATTTTGTCTTCTTTTATTATTTCTTTCTGAGATTATTTTTTCTAAAAATAACTTTTTATTTGTCTAAGTTTTTCCAGAAGGTGTTTTAGATGCTCTTGAAGTGTACGCAGTGATCTGTATGTGTACACTTAATTTAATGATTTATTCTTTATTCTTCTTGTTAAATAAATATTAAACTAAGGCCAACAACAAAAAGAATAAGAAGCTTTGTCAACTCTAGAGATTTTTAATCTGCCTAATTAATTAGTTGATTATGATAATCTCTTTAACTCAATTAAGTGGTATATTTGGATTAAGTATTTCGTCAAATAAACTAATGTTAGAAACTTCGATGTTAGATTATGCAATCTATGTCTATTATATCCGAAAGTTTTTTTTTTTTTTTTCTTTTAACTTTTCTATCCTTGTTCTAAAGAAATTAATTGTAAATTTTGATTTATAAGTTGATGTTATCAAAGAGGAGAAAACATATTTTTTATATTGTTAGAAAATTATAAAATATAGAAATAAATTGTACACCGATTTTATATACATATTTACGTTAACCACGACTAACGACAAGTGACTAGTGCCACTTGTCTAACATGTTCCTCTCTCGATGGACTATAAAGATTCTGAACAATCATCTTGGACAGTAATGAAAGCAAAATAGTTAAAAATAATGGCTTAACAAACATATTTACTTAACTGGTTTTTTTTAGATCGGATAGACATGAGTTTGACAGCTCTGGAAACAACAAAATGACAATAATTTCAATGTGCTTAATATGCTCATGAAGATAGGATTTACGACAATATAAATTACAACCTGCTTATCACAAAAGATGAGTGCTGGAGATGGAACATGAGTCTGAAAGTTACGTAGAAGCAGCTAAATCCAGATTAATTCATTAGATGTGGTAAGATTTTGAAGTTGTAAATTACTTCTTGGCTTTCTAAAATATCAAGATATCTCCCAGAAAAACATAATAACTAGTAATCGACTTTCTAGAATCTACACATGCTGTCCGGTCAATATAATAAAAAGCTTGTAACTTTAAGAGAGATAAGGATGAAAGAAATAAGTATTGTCCTAGTTTTGGCTTAACGTAACAAAGGAGATGGATGAGATACTTTAAGATGAGCTCACGAGCTGAGAAACGAATTGAATTAAGCTTGTGCCCTGCATAAGTGATTCTAAACTTTAACAAACACAAATATAAAAGCCTTGTAATTAGATGTCAATATTGAGAAGGGTATATAATTAAATCTCTTTTATGTATATGAAGATGGATTTTAGGATTTGTCATGAATTGATACAAAAAGTTTAATTTCAAAAGAAACAAAAAGTTAAAGACAAAATATCAATCAATACGTACATCAAAATCAATAAAAAAAAAAAAAAAATCAAGAATTCTTTACTTGAAATCTTGAATTTTCATTTGTTCCAATACCATGTTACCAAAGAAAAGAACACATATTGTTTGTACTGCTAGAAAATTATAAAATATAGAAATAAGTTGTAAACCAATTTTATCTATTTATTTACATTAACCATAGCTTAACTATGGATTGAGTTAATTTATCAACTAACAAGAACGTAGCAACACGATTCAAATGAGATGTCTATAATACTTATTGAATATTTGATTTAAAATTCATAAGTTCTGATTCTAAAGCCCTACTAAGTACTTAAAATTTTAAAATTTATCAATTATAGTCATGCACAAATAAAAAAAAAAATCATCATTGTAACTAAAGCAATGATTCTTGTAACGACCCCAGAAGTTTCAAAGGAAATAAATTATGAATCTAGTGCGGAAGCGAAATAAATAGTTAAGGTTCACATTATTTATACATAAACTTAATGTCCCAAATAGTGTTACGGAAATTACCATTTTGAAGGAAATACAAAAAAAAAAAAAAAATTGAAGAAACAAACGAAAAATAAATAAAATTGGTATCCTACTCGGAACCCTCTTGTGGATTGGGTTCTGGATCCTGATTCTCTTGATATGAAATAGTTAAATAAGAAATGAGCTACATTAGCTCAGTAAGAATATCACACTACTCACCGACACATAAATGAAAGTTGGTAGAAAATTAAAACAACTAATAGAGCACTTAATTAAACAAATACATTTATTAATAATAAAATCATTTACCGTCCACTTATCGCAGTGAGATTTATAAAAACAACCTATAGAGATAATAACATAACACTTATGATGATTTTATATGCAATTAGTAACATGCACACATTATAAATCAATATTCAATAAATTAAACAACCACCGTCCCTTTTCCATCAGTCTGCTGGTATCCATGTGGATTCATGGGAATATCCCCGCTATGCGTAAACTATTTCCTTTAACATTCTCAATTAAAGGGCCGTCCCTATACTCTATTTGGTACGAGCGCCAAACTATTAAACCTCAATACTCCGTTCGGTATGAGGGTGAAACGGACCGTTCTCATACTTTGTCCGGTATGAGTGCCAAATTACCAAGTCTCGATACCTCGTCTGATATGAAACAACGTTCACTGTAGGGTTTCCTATTGTATCTGGTCCGTCCACCATTTCTCAAAATATCAAGTAAGGCTGTCATTTCATCCATTCACTTAATCACACTATTTTCTGTTTTTTTCCTTAGTCTCTATTTTTCAATTCAACCGTAATCACATTAACAAACAAATATGCATCAAGGAATGAATTCATATCTCGCTTTTTTAATTTAACATTAGTCACGTAAGGCAGCAATACATACATTTAGAACATAAAATTGATAAATTAGATATTATTATGCATTAAAACTGTAAAATCAAGATATCAGTTAAACATAGTAAACAGTCATAAGTAACCGGTTCTGGCTCTATTAGTAACATGTAATTAATTATGAATATTTTTAATTTATAAAAACTACCGTATTATTATTAATTAAACTGTAATTCCATAACAGGAAATAAGGTGAAGAATTCTTACTCAATTTGATGTCTGAAAGGTTAAACTGTTGACTGCACCTACTGGCGGTCCTTGGGTTCCCTGAATTTTTTTTCAGAAATTAAAACGCGGTATGAGTACCTATAAATGTGCCAAAAACCCAAAATCAGTATCAGGGCCCTATTTTAGCTAATTTTGGAATTTCGGCACGGTGACTGTTCGTCGTGCTCCGGCGACGAGGCCGCCACCCGCGATGGCAGTCCACCTCGGGTCGTTTGTTTTCGGTCATTTTTGGCTGAATTCGACCGATTTTGTATTGATCCCTACGAGAAAATATGTTAAGGAACCTCAGTTAGCCGACAAAATACAAAAAACCAAAATTCACCGGTGGCGGGCTCTCCGGTGCGGCGGCTCCTCCGGCTCACATCGCAGTTCGGTGTTTTGCTCCGGTCAACCCATAGAGAAGGAAACGGTGATCATAGTGGTGGAAAAATTACGTCAAACGGGAATCGGAAGGGCCTCATCAGAGGCGTTTTGTGAAATTCCCCACGGTAGTGCTGCTCTAGTTTGTCCTCAATTTTCGAATAATTGACCAGTCATTTTGCTCTGATTTGGCCATGGTGGTGTTTAAAATTCAATTTCGAGTAAAGGGGGAAATTTTTACCATTTTTGACGGTCGAAAGTAGCTCCGACACGACGGCTGGTGGCGGCGACTCTCCTTCCCGGCGGTGGGGTCTTCTTCTCCGGCGAGGGTGTCTGGCAGCTAAGGTTAGGATTTGGTGTGAGAGGGTTATTTATATCCGTTTCCATTTAATTTGGGTCGTCCACCACGTTCGATCTGGATCGTCCGATCACGATTAAGTAGGGAGTGAATCTGGACCGTTCATCGCGATCTAATCTAGGTCTTTCATCGCGATCTAATTTGTGTCATCCGATCGTGTTTGGAGAGGGAACGCATCCAGGTCGTTCGTGCGCGCGGGAACAGATCTAGACCATTCAGTCGTGGGCACGTGGATCGCCTGTGTGGCCTCCTGCGTGGCACCGCATCAGCGTTTTTTTTCACAAGGCACGTTTTAGTTCGCCTGGGTTGCTGACCGGGCATCCTACGTGGCACAAGTTTTTTAAATTGTATTTTGACCCATATTTTTCAATTTTTCTTTCAAAAATATCATCAAAACCCAAATTTTTACCCATTTTTTCCAAAATCGTTTTCAATTTCATCTTTCATCAAATTTTCTTCATTTTTATACTAAATTAAAATTAAAAAAAATAAAAAATTACATAAATTAATTTAATGTTCTGTTATTGACACAAATAGTATTAATCTTTGTCGAATCATAAAAACAATATTAATGTATTAGGTTTTAGATTTATGCGATTGATTGCACAGTATCTGACCTAGCAAAAACATAAATATTTTAATAATAATTTATAACCATTCATGTTATCATAATTACATTTTTATTCTACAAATAAAAGTAATTAACCCAATTTGTTCATGGAGAGAAAAGAAAGAAAAATTAAAATTGTTTAGTTTTTAAATGAGAGAAGAAAGAGTATTTTTTTTTGTTTTGATAACTAAATTTTGAATAAATAAAGTAAATAAATTGTTGTTGCAATATCTTTTTGTTTAATTTTATGAACAAAAAAAAAATAGTAATTATAAAAAAATGATCGATAATATTTTTCTTTTGTGGAATACGAGTTTTTGTTTTTAAAAATTAAATTTCC